TGTTTCTCTTCCCCAAGTGCAAAACTTAATCCTCCACTCTACCTCACCTTGCAGAGTTAGATTTTTGCTAATGGTAGTACACAACCATAACTGATAGAAATTTTGTTATTGACCACTGTGGCCACAGGGTAAGTGCCTACAGACACAGTGTTGTTGTTGATAGAGAGGATTCCAAATACAAACACGTGCATGCGTCTTGTACCTTGTGGCCGAGGATTTCTCCATAGGGACCCCCTCATCTGGTTATCATATGGAGGAACAGAAGAACCTCTGTGTGTTGGGAATTTGGGATTAAATTCTCTTTGTTGTGTTCCTGAAAGACAGTATTTACTATGCAACTCTCGCTGTATATAAGATTAAATGAAGAAAAAGAGAGACAGCAAGTTTTTTGGGTTTTTTTTTGAAAAACATTTCTTAGTTTTATGTCATAACAGTTATGCACAATCATGATTCTTCCAAACTAAAGTAAGTCTAATAAGAACGGTTCTTGTCCTCATTTCCATCTATGCACATCATGACTACAAGTTGTTAACAAGTGCATTTAGAAACAAGATCAAAATCTTATGACACAGATTTGGAGACTGCAGTCATTAAAACAAAACAGAAATCTTGTCCAAATTGGAATCACAAATCATAATTAAAATGGCTAAGTGCAGCTCTTAAGCAATAGCAGATGCTAGCAAGGTCTGGTATCATAAATCACCAACAGATACTTTTAGTTCTGGATGTCCAGCACCAGTATGGTGTAGTACAACATTAGAAGTATCATGGTCACATAATGCAAAGCACTGAACTAGCAAAAAATCACTCTCATTTTCTCAAGGAATTTTGAAGGGGTCATTTTTATCCTCACTGACATTATCATTGATCAGGTATTAAGCAGGTAACAAACATATACCAGCATAAACACTGAGATTCTGTGTAAATTATTTTGAAGACTTTTCAAAAGCCTCAATATTTGGGCTGATCTGTGAATGATGCTGAAAAGCTTTAAGATATTTTTTCTCTGAAAGTCAGGCAGATAAGGTGGGGAAAACAAATGCCTTTAGTAAAACAAACCATAAAATTGTGGAAAAAAAGCACCAGGTCTTAGGCAAAAAAAAGAAGCCATTCTCCAAGTTGCCCCAAAGCTTTCCTGTATTTTGAACTGTATCAGTCAGTTCAACAAGGAGTATTCTATCTTCAGTGCCTCACGCAGACTTTCAACTATCAATGTTAAAATAACCCCCCAGAGGGAAAGGAAGAAAAAACCCCTCTGAGTCATCTATTTCCTGCTATAAAAAATAACTTTAGTGACTGAGTAAATAACAGTAATGTTTCTGTCAGTGAATATCTTATTTACTGCATACATCTCACTATGCAGCTAGAGGGAAATATTGTTTTACCCAAACTTGGGTAATCAAATTTATGTGAATTGCTAAAACCAGGAAATATTTTCTTAGATCTCTCCGTGGTTTCTTGGAGAAAGACCTTACAATTTATTTAGCTTGATGGGTTGCCTACGTAAATGCTGCTGCTGTTGAAGGATAATTAAGCTCAACAATACACTAACTTTATAGAGAAAATTAACACAATGCCAACCTGTGATAAATCCATTCCCTCTTGGTCTGCTCTGTATTGTTCTTTTCTTAGCCATGCAAGCCTTGCAAATGAAAGACTTCAGATTCTGGAAGGGTGTATACAATGACTCCTGCAGACGATAGGGTTAAAAATCAATGACTGTTCTGTTTTTCTCTTTTTAGGTGTAACAGAAAACAATAGGAGGCCAGACAGCAGAAACTAGAGAGATTTCTTAAATTAGACATGGAGTCTGAATCCCTGAATCCTCTTGTGAACCTCCCTATCACATTTTTTTGAGTTAAAAAACCTCTTTATAGGTTAAGCAAAACCCACAGATTTTGATTTTTTCCACACAAACTGAGTACAGCCTGTGAAGAACACCCTCTAATGGGAAAAACCTTTTATTGTATTCTTGGGAGAATAAATTCAAAATGTGTTTACAAAGGCTGCATGAAAGGCATGATCAGGAAAGGACAAAGCATATCACTTATGCTGACCCCATTAGGTAATTTAGTTTTAATTTTAAAAAATTGATCAAGAACGTGCTCATTAGTAAGAAGCACAATGAAAAGGCTAATAAAGTGATAATATCATTGCCTCACTGCTTTATGAGACTATTATATCCAATTTTCTGTGTGGATAAACAAACTAATATGATTACTGTTATGAAAAACAGAGAACTAGCATAATAGGAGCTTAGTAGATTTATTTTTTAAAAAAAGCAAGATGGCTCTATTTCTGATTCTTACCAGAAGCTTTCCATTTTTTATCTTTAACAGCTACTAGGCTACAAAGAGCTGAACTACACAAAAACTTGCCCACAAATATATCAACTGCATTTAATTTACACACTTTATTCATCTGGTACAAGAATCTGTGGGAAACAAACCCTAAAATGTTCAAAATTTCTGGTACACATGTAAATATTTAACCAAGTTTGTATTTCTTATGTAATTTTCATAAAGCTATTAACTGTATTTAAGCCCATCATAATGAAAACAGCATTGACTCTGAGTTATCTTGAACTCCCTGAAATTATGTAACTGTCCAGATCATAGAGAATGGACCTTAGATTTGGAGGCAAGCAATGAACACCAAAAGGAGCACTTTTTCCTAGTACTTATCCTTTCTATAACAAAACATGCCAAGTAGAATAACTTTTTTTTCTGAATACAATGCTCTTGCCATCATCACATTAGATTTATGGTGCTCAAGGGTAGATTGTTAACAAACAACTGCTTAAAGATCTTGGCTTCCAGCAGTACAGTAAGCTCTGCCAGGAACCAAGTACCAGTTTTATTTATTAAAGTTGAACTTACAATAATAGCAAAAACCAAGCACATATGTTTATTGCCTTGCCAGTGTCCGCAGCTAAACTGGCATCTCTTGGCAGTTCTCCCCAAAACAGGTTCTTGCCTCAAACTGATAAGCTGGAAAGCTATTTTATTAGTCTGGGAGCTATCTCTGCCTTATATGTACCATAAAATCATACCTAAAAAAGAAAAAGATTTAAACTACTCTAAAAATTCACAGGGCTAGATTATTTTTCCCCACAACAGAACAGTTTATCTGGGGTTTGTTTAAACTAGAGTATTTCAGGCTTTTAAAAATCCTAACCTAGATATTTCAGTTGATCAAGCCAATTTCCAACCCTGTTCTAGGGTTCTAAGCATAACCTTCAATCTTCCAAGACAGGTTAAAATATAACTTTAAACTGACTATATCAAGATTCTCAAACATTAGCTAAAACATGCTACCTAACACATTCAAAAATACCTCTCAGCCAATATAAATTTTGTACAGATTTAGATCTATATTGTAAAAGTTATTCATTAACCTGAATTCTATCCAAATGGAAAAGTATCAATTTCACATAAATCTGTATAATTTTAAATGTTCCTGTTTATTCTTTAGACCCTCTATCACTATGCAGAAGTCCTACATGAAAAACTGGCACAATCCAAAATCTACTGAAATCAAGGGACCAATTAAGGGGAATGACAGTATTTGGATAGAGGCTATAGTTCTAATCACATGATTGATTCCATATGGAAAGCATTATCTTCCTCCTTCATGCTGAAAACACACACATTCCACCCACCCACATGCGCTCCGCTCATCACTCCAGATTAGGATGGTATGTAATTGGACACAAAATTAGAAAAGAAAACTAATTATATAACTGGTATTAAAGGCATCAGATTAAAACCACCCAAAGCCAAAAACTTTTTTCTCTCTAATCACTTTTATTTATTTTAACCTCAAGTGATATATGTAACAGCAGGTAAAAACATTTCAAAGATAAAATTTTCAAAAATAATTAAATGATACAGAACTTTCAGTTCCACACTGAAAAGAGACACATTAATCAAAAGTCTTTCCTCTACTCAGAGCTACCCAAGCATCTCTTCACATGTTCTGTGCTGGCAGGGCACAAGCCGGGTCTGGTCTGAGGCTTCACTAATGCATTAATACAGCCTTGCACCCAGTCTGGCAGACCCTACCTCTTAGCCTGGACATGATGCCACTCTAGTGCACCAGATATAGCCCATACCCAGCAAGACTCAGCTGGTATCTCCCTGTGTTTGCCTAGGCAGACGTGTTTTAAGTCATACTGCTTTTTTGTTTTTGTCACATAGCACGCAAATTGTGCAAATCCTCAGCTTTCGAAAAGTGGGACTGAGAACTAAGTAAGTACTTAGAGATATAGGAAGGTACTTGGTGAGATTCTACAAAAATATGTGGATACATACCTCCTTCTGATTTCCAGTTCCTATCTGAATTCACCAAACCTTCATCTCAAACTTTAGGTTCCTTAATACCTTTAGAAATACCACTCTTCAACACTTTAAAAATCATGTCTAGTATGCGTATTTAAGGACATTCTTAAGTGTTTAAAATCTTGCTTAAGATCTTACATGAAAAATATATCATTAATATATTAGTACTAAAAAAACCATTAAAAGCATTTTCATTTTTTGAAATTGACAACCCTTGTGACACTTCCTTGTATTATTTTCTGAGTGATGGAAACAGAAATAAAGGTAAAATGATAGCTTCCTTTTCAGTCTTTCTCCCTTAGGGTTTTTTAGCAGAGAGGATGAAAAGGAATAAGGAGGAGAGGAAAAATAAAAAAAAAGGGGACCAGTGTGAACATGAATATTAAACCAACACAGACAGGTACATGGGTACATATTTCAAAGAATACAAAACTGCCTAAGAGGATGAAATTACTCACATTGCCTTCCAAAAGCTCTTCCAAAGAGCAACCTTGGTGCGATTGCTGGTATTTTTCTTGAAAAAGTTTTCCATCAAACACTTCCCAAGGCATCAAATCATCCATTCTGAATGGAAATCCACAAGCACTATTGGCCATGAGCAAGGTTGTGAGGCCACGAACAAAGACAGCGCTAAGATGTACAGCTCTGGAGTCCACCTGTGTGAGCTGGCAAGACAAAAAAAAAGACTAGGCCTCACAAATCAGAAAATATAAGCAATCTTACCATCACATGTGAAAAGTAGAGCAAATGATAAACAGTCCCAAAGCTGTGACAATGATGATGTTCTACTGCACAGCAGAATTCATCAAAGAATTCTGTATCTAGTTTTATTCAATGAAGTGAAAGAAGTAAAGTTTCATTAAACAAATACGGCAACTCACTCTAGTTTTTGAGACAGGCACATTCAAAATGAAAACAGAAAGAAAAATAAATAGCTATTCTCCATAGTATTTCTCAAGCACTAGCTTGAGAATCCAGAAAGAATTTTGTTAGTGGAATGCAAACCATGAATGGGGAGTATAAAGTGATGAGCACAGTGATCCATTGACCTTCCACAGTTTGATCAACCAGGAAATGTTACAGCAATTACGGATAATTTAAATTATAAGATATGACAGAACAAAGTTTATTGTGCCCAAGCTTTTATTTTAAACACTACAAGATTTCCTTTGACTGTAGCTTGAAAGTCAAATTATTTCACTTCAACACGGATGTCTCCAGAATGAATACTGGAACGGTACAACAACATCCAGAAACTGTAAAATGAGAAACTCAACAAGACAACTAAAAGTCATGGCAAAAGTAAACTTGATGGGTGAATTTAACATCCTCCTGTGTCAGAGGATAATAAACTATAAAAGCCTTGAATTCAATATGGAGAAAACGGTGATTTTAAGTGTTGTGCAAACAGGACAAAGCTCCTCAGTGGGGAATGCCTTTTCCACAGTCTGTACTGAAGCAGCCTGTCAGGACTAGGAAGGATTCATAACAGTGTGGCCATCAATACTGTAATCCATGGCAGTTGTACCCTTACAGTACAGTTTTCTTTACTGTGTTGTTGTACCAGAAATGGAATAGCACCACAAATATTCCAGAACAGAAAAACAAAAAACCAAAAAAATTACAAGTAATAGCAGACAACATGAAATGTTGTACTAATGGATCAGAACTTTTTGTTCCCTAAGGTCCACATAAAACAAAAAAACAACCAATAAACCACCTTTGCTAGCAATATGGAGCTATGAAGCTTCTTCCAAAAGAGACAAACACAACGACTAATATGCAGAATATAGCTAGAACCCGGTCAAGGACTTAGGCTTTCTGTATTATTATGCAGTGACAGGAAGTCTGATGTATAATTTAACTACATGAAACTGGCTTCTGTGACAGCATTCTCCCTAACCATAGACAAGGAGCAGTAGGGTTCTGTTAATCTGACTTAAGATATAAGGTATACCTCCACTGGCTGTTTTTGCCACAGTGCAAAGCAAAAGACATGAAGATGATGATGCAGGCAAAAGACACCAGGCAGTGTGGTCCAGAGCCCTCTGGGAAGAATGGTAGTACTGCCACTAAGTACAGGGTATGAAGTCTGAGCCACCAACACAACCCTGGCTGTACTCTTTTCAACTACGCTTGAGACACACTGCTTAAAAAGATAAAATAATGTTGCTGTTGGTGACAGGTTTGTATAGGTAGAACACTTGACTGTCTACGGGTATCGATCCAGACCTTTCCTGAAGCACTAAAGTATCAGGGGTGGGGGGTGGTATGACGTGTGTGGATATCAGCTAAGGCCTGTTTTTTAATGGAAGTCCGTATTGGCAAGACCAAGGCAAGAGCTGTCAACAGCGATTATTTTAATAAGACAGGAAATACATTTGCTAAAGGGTAGATTCTACTTTCCATGTCTGGCAATAAAAAACAAAGAAAACAAGAGCACAGTGAGTCTGTAACAATGTGCCTGTGCACATAGCAAACCACAGACTTGCTTGGCCATGGGAATGCTCACAACTACTTGATGTCTGCAATGCAAAGACGTCACGATGAGGAGAAGTGGAAAATTCCAAAAGAAAAGAAGACTTGCCTTCTAGGGCATTACACCCTAGAGATAACTCCTTATTGGAAATTGTGTCTGTTCTCTTTACTATTTTCATAAACTCAGGACCTCAGTGAACCATGTGAGATACACCCCTGTGATCCTGCTGCTGCTACTCCTCCCACTAGCTGATGACATTTGAGTGAGAGAGAGAAGGAGTGCATGAGAACTGCTCTTCCTGCAACAGCTGCCTGGGCTGTGCCCCTGCTGCTACTCCCACCAAGAGCAGCTCCCCACCCTCTCAGTGTCAGGGGAAAAAAGGTTCGTTCTCCTCTTTGCCAGCATTAACTCAAGACTGAGAAGACAACTCAGAGTTCACAGTCCTCTAGTATCATTCCAGCAGAGGTTACTGATATCATGCTTAGAAGGCCTGAGACAAACTGGGTAAACTCACTTGAAAAGAGAAAGAGAAGTGCTACAGCACCCACATCTCTCATCTATAATGGTGGGGTTTTTTTACAATTTGAGAAACGTCTTTGCTCGAAAAGCCTTATCTCATGCCTTTTTCTGCTCTAGAAACACAGGACTTTAGCCTGTGGACCACAAGTTTAGGCTGATCTCTGTGCTTGTCTGCACCCTCACTGATCACAGAAAAAGGTTTTGCAAGAAGGAAAGCATTTGCTCACAGGACTAGCTTGCAAATCTAGACCAAGAGACCCTAAAAAAGCTGAAGAGGTTTTGCTTACAAGAAGAAAAATAAATGGACCTTGTATAGGAAATGTAAATTTCCAGTTCAAATTACATCTAATGAAATAATAACAAAAAATAAAATTAAGATGTAAAAATACCTTTATGTTTTAAGGAAATACTCTAAGTCCTCTGAGTCTTCTTTGTGGATTCAAAAGTGATTTTTTGACAGAGGTGTAAACATTATCCAATGCACTTTGAAAGCTGTACAACCTACTTGCAGGATTCTACTAAAAAATCCCACAACTTCTTCACCACTCTACTCCAAGAATTTAGAAGGTTCAAATTCTGCTAAAAAGAATGACTAGGTTCTATAGCACCTGAGATGTGAGGGCAAGTATCTGAACATGCCCGATGCCAGCAGACACAAACGAGGGCCAGAACCATACCCGCTGTCAGAGCCACCTATCTTAATTTCTAAAAATCAAGAAGAAAGGTGAAGATACAGTAATAACTTTACAATACTTTATTTGTACTGCTTTATACACCATCTGTATCTCAACGCAATAAATACTACATTTCATTTAAGAACTGGTTCCTTTAGTACAATTTTCAACAACGCTCTGGGGACAGTTTTTCTATTAAAAAATGTGTATTAAATGTTACTTACAAGTTGTTCTTATGCATTTAATTTCTTTCCTAACCTGTTGCCGCCTTCTGTGGTTGAGCTGAATACAGAAGATATGACTATGACTAACTTTTTGAAATATAAAGTTAAAAAGAAATAAATTAAAAATTACATAAGGTACTTCCCACCCCTCCCTCCTTTTCTCCTCCCCCCCCAAAGAACACACCTATTTCTGTTATGAAAAGGAAAACACAACACTCAAGGTCAGGTTAGTATTTGCTAATTTCTAGTTACAATTAATCAATTGAGGAAAAATAATTAAAAATAAATTAAATTTGACCCAAGCAATAAACTGTTGGAATTCAAGTGACGGTGATCAAAATCTGAGTACTTTACTAGTTTAACCAGTTCTTTTTAGATCCATTAGAACTCAGTCAGTATGTGATCAGTATACTACTTCTTGCATTACCTCCCTCAAGCCCACCTGTACCTTAAATGATCCAATATTTTACCATAGGCAGTTTATGCTTGAGCAATAAGGGCAGCAGGTAGATCCTATCTCAGGAACTTGCCATTAAAGCAGTAAGGCTTAGCTTTGCCCAGGAGAGCTAAGGCACTTTGTGTTCCAAAAACAAAGAGATGAACTACCAGCTGATGATAACTTCACTGAAGTTAAATCCTCTGCAGTGGAAAGCATCACTAAAATTCTTTAAAGGCAAAGACAAGAGTCCGTTCTTGAATTCTAGTTCTTTCTGCCTTCAGTCATTAGTATACTCTCAGTGCGAGTTGTCAAAAGATGCTAAAACCCCTGTGCACTGGAACGACACACTCTGCTCTTGAGCAAAGATACCCTAAACTGGTGCAATGGTGGTGAGTTTAAGGGATGTTATCCTACAGAGATGGGCTGGTGAAAACAGTACATTTATTTGGCACCAGTCAGCTTTAAGCAATAGGCTGCTGGGAGTGTAGTACATCACCTGCTTCCTTGACCTGTCACACTGAGGGAGGAGAGGAGCACCAGTATTTTGGAAACAAGTCTAAGGTTTATTCTGATAAAAGATTATGGCTTAAATTAAGCTCTTCCTGCTTAAACAAGTTGTGTGCAAAGGAAAATGGGGATTGAAAAGAGATCCTGTAAGGGCATCTGCTGCAACAGAAACTAGAAAAACCAGTTTTTAAATACTTCTAAGGATTCACAGTAAATATTTAGCAGTAAACAACCCAATTGTTTAATGTTTACATTTTGAGGAAAGTTTATTTACTGAGTTTTATCAGGATTTTGATGTAAAATGATACTACTCTGTGAAACAACACTGTTATTTACATTCAGCCAAACACTCCGATGAAGTCAACTTATAAAAAGCTTCAAAACGGCTTTTACCAATTAAGCACCCTACCAAATAATAAAACAAGGGTAGTGCTGCTAACCAGTCTGCAATTAGATAAAAATCTCCTTCAGTTCCAAAAAGATCGTTTCTCTTTTTTTTAATTTTCAAAAACATTGGCATTTATCAGAGTTCTTAACCATATATACAATAAAAGCCAACATAAATGACATTTCTGTGATGATGAATACCACTAGATTAGCCTTTTAATTTACAGAACATCCCCATAAACTCCTCTCCTCTCCTCTGTGGAATTATGAGAAGGGAAGGTATTGGTAGCTCCACTTCTTTAGTGCCCTGCAACTAATGAATTTTGTCCCCGATGGGGGGGACGAACTGCACACAGACTCCTGATACGTCATGGAGGAATTGCTGGGCTCTTGCATGTGCTATGTCACCAGCATCCGAAATGGTTCAGTAATTATT